AACAGGGGGAGGAGGATACAACTCCAGCTCTTGACTTCAGAAATCTTGATTCTTGAGTCTTGAGAATCTTGAGCCTTGAATCTTGAACTGTGAATCTCAGATCTTGGACTTGAATTTCTACACCGACTTGTAAAGAAAAACTTCACCAACTATCGGCAATCGTGAGCTTACTTGCAAAAGATGATGAACCCCTTGCTATGAACAGCGCTTCTTACCTTATCTCTTTGGACACTAAGCTTCTGAAGGCACTTCAAACCATGTGGGAGGCTCAAGTGAGATGTTTGACATGCACATAGCATTGGGAGAGATTTTTTGACGTCACAACATGATGATCTTAGTCATGTTTCAGTACCTCCTGTTCTTGACGATCGAGTACATGCATGGATTGAGTTTGTACCACAGCCGAATAATCTCATTCCTGTTAGTCAGTTATGCTTCTAAAGAGCGCATCTATAAAGTTACTATCACAACTTGCCTTGTTATTTCGTGTACATATCTCGATTATCGTATCTTCCAGTAGGTCCTATAAAGGCCGGTTTAGACGACAAGAATTTCGCCTACAATTATCGATTACAACACGCTCGCGCCATCCTACAAATCGAGTCGTAGCGTGTAAATCAAGCCTACAACTCGCCTACCACAGACGCGAGCGTGTTGTATACGATGGTTGTAGGCGAAAATCTTGCCGTCTAACTAAACCGGCCTTAATACACGAAACAAATATCACGCGTACTTTGTTACGCATGATCAAAGTTCTTCTTCAGAAAAGCTAGCTTTTGTTTGGCAAAGGGCTGAGAAATAAATTTTTGTGAAAAAAACTTGCCAAGCCTCCAGAGGCAGGGAAAAAATATTCCATTTCTTAAGATAGAATGCCATACATTTCCGCTTGGTATTTGGAGTTTTCGAACCTTGTCGACATTAGGTTTCCTACTGTTTACCTCTTTACCATCACACTTTAAATATTTTTTTGCTAGTAGATATGAAATGGCGGTTCTATGCCATCCGGAGCCCGGAGCCGGCGGAGCCAGGCTACCACCCCTCCCCTACGATTTCCCGGAGCCGGCGAAGCCAGGCCCCACTCCTCCCCCACGATTGTTACTGACTACAAAAATGAATTCAGGAACGAATGAGTTATGGTCTTGTTTCTAAAATCCTTGCGGTTCTACGCCATCCGGAGCCCGAAGCCGGCGGAGCCAGGCTACCCCCCCCCCCCCCCCA